GTGTGTGTGTGTGTGTGTGTGTGTGTGTGTGTTCTTAACCCCTCGGTCATTAAAGGCTGTGGTATTGCAGTCGGTGGATGGGTGGGAAACATGGACACTCAGGTTTGTGAATGCGATAACTTGAAAATGAAGCCACACAGAACCTTTTCTATTGCAAGTCTTGGACAAATCTGCATCTCAGTGAACTTGAGGCTAAGGTCAGATGTTTAGAATCTGAAAGTTTAGTGAATGCGATAACTACACAAGGATTTCACCTAGGGGTTTGAACTTTTGGTGTATAACCCTTTAGTGGAATTTCTTGGATGTCAGGGTGCACAGAGAATATTGAATTCTTTATATAAAATCTAAAGAATGGAAACAGCTCAGGTCACTTTGCATACATATTTCAACATCAGCGATACAAAGTTTATCATACTTGAAAAAGGGAATCTACAAGCTTGTGTGCAATATTTGAAACAAATGCAAAGCTAAATAAGACTGCATAAAACTCCTGTCTCGTTGTCTTTTCACACGTTGGGTTAGCTTATACAAACATGATCATCATGCCCTAGTTGTTTAAAGGACTTCCCTAGACGCATGCTAATTAACTAGGTTTTCCCCAGTGTAGGCCTCAGATTGGAGAGACTGGCTGAGTGAACCGGCATAATCATGTTAGCTTGTATGTATCCTGGTGCATGGTAATCATGGCCTTTGGCCTTCAGACTATTTATAGAATACATTTGCAGCCAGATGAGAAATATAGGACATGGTTTCATTAGACTTCTCTGTCATAGTGTTATGATGATGGTGGTACTTGTAGTTCTTTATGTACATTTTAAGATTGTGTTATAGCACCCTCTTGTGTCAGTCTTTGTCACTTACCCAGTAACAGAATAGAGAAAATATTCCCTTTTACGTGAGCTAAATGCTCAATAAGGACTCTTCTTCTGAAACTGGGTCTGTTTGTCCCATTCATATTTCTGATTTCAATGTACTCTTTGTTCACCCTTTTTATGTCCCACTTATCTAATTCTTCTATTCTGTCTTTTTGCATGCAGTGTTTGGTTTCCTGTTCAGTGACAAGTGTGGATTCAGCACGGAGAGGCTCATTCTAAATAAGAGACGGGATACTGTGGAGAGCGTAGCCGGCATGGCCTTCCTGCTCGCAGCCGAACGTGTGCAGACAGGCAGCTACATCGGACTAGATTACATAATTGGGGACACGGGCATCTCTCAGGGAAGGTATGCAAAACACAAACAACCAACACTGGGACTTGATACAAAAATCTCACTGAGCAGTAGATTTTGTTTCGTCAGTGCAAAGTAGGTTTAATTGCAAAATTTTCTGCCAGTTCCCAGGTTTGGTACAAATGAGCCCATTAGTGAATGAATGGGCAAACTGGTCATCATAACCTCCTCTGAGGTGAAAAAATTGCATTTTTATTTTTTTGCAGACATTACTGGGCCTTTAAGGTGGAACCATACAACTACATGGTTAAAGTTGGCGTGGCCTCCGACACAAAGCTGATTGAATGGTTTCACAATCCGAGAGATACAAGCAGCCCAAGGTATGTGCAGCCATATCTCCCCCCCCCCCCTTATGTTGCTATAATCTATATGCATGTGGTCTACAGGTGACAAATCTAACCATAACAAATGCAGTATAGCGCCAAGTGTATTTGAGCCATACCTAATCCTGTGACGTAAGAGAACCAGTATAAACTCTTAAAGAGCTTATTGAGACGAAGCTTGGCCTTTTCAGCAAATTAGCCCATGTAAAGGAGAACATTATATAATGCAAATAAATTTGACTTCTATGGTAATTATGTGACGCATGCAAATTGATAAGGACCAGGCAGTGTTCAGACAATGCTTAGATGTTTCCTCCAGATCAGTTGCCTGAAATTCATAAGTTCATCTAATAAAGTTCTGCATAAACTTTCCAAGTGCAAAACAAATCTTTACCGGTACCTTCCTTTTACCAGGTATGACCACGACAGCGGGCACGACAGCGGCAGTGAAGATGCATGCTATGAGCTCTCCCAGCCCTTCACCCTCGTCACCTTGGGCATGGGCAAACTCATCATCCCGAAGGCTTCTTCAACGTCTAGCTCTTCCACAGCAAACGCACAGTCAGCTGACCCCGGCAGCCGCATCCTTCCTATGCCCCAGCGCTTGGGCATATGCCTTGATTATGACGCGTGCCGAGTGTATTTTTACGACGCCGACACCATGAGGTGCCTTTACGAGAGGCAGGTGGATTGTTCGGGAACAATGTATCCGGCTTTTGGCCTCATGGGCAGCGGCAAGGTTCAGCTGGAAGAGTTCCTAGCCAGTAAGAGACTGGCCTTCTAAGGAGTGCATTAAGCCTGGAATCCATTTCATCTTTAGTGTGTTCTGGGAAGAACAGGTTTTATTGACAGGGTGATGGAATACAATTCAGACCATTTTTGAAGGTCAAATCAGGCAGATGTGATTAGGGCACTTGGTCCTAATGTGGAAATGGGATCCCTGCCAGGGAATGGCCCCTTTTTTTTTTTTCTTTTTTTTTTTCTCTCCTCCCCCCCCCAGTATTGGCATGTATCCACACGAAGATAATTACGCTGAATATCAGTTCAGTGTCTGCATACAGAGGTCTTCGGTAGTCCGTATAGATGTAAAAGGTCTTCTCCATATACCAAAGTCTCTGGATCTGGTAATTGTATTGGACCTGGTTTTATGATGAACGCCTTCGATCTTCCTTTCCTTATTTTTTTGTTTTTGTTTTTCAGGTTTCGGTTTAAATAGTGTTTGTTTCAATTAGTGGGTGGTTTGTATTTGCTTGTTTTCTGTAACCATTTATGTTAAGGCAGCAGCATAGGTGTAGATATATTAGTGGACCTGAGAGCCTTGTAGCTAACTGAAGCTAGCGCCTTTGTGCCTTTTTTTTTTTTTTTTTTTTTTTTTTTTGAAATGGATGAATTAGTTCTCTCTAGCAACCAGATGTTGACATTAAATACTGGATGTGAGGATTTGGTGTAGGTACAGTTGGATCAGACACTGGCCTCATAGATATTAGAACTTATTTACTCTTTGTCACAAACGCTACTCCTCCTCACACTTATGTTTAGCTGTTTTTGCACAATAAAATGAGTCTTGCACAATAAATTTTAGTCTTCACAGCTGGATCACTACTTGGCGTAAACGTTGCCGATATACAGCTATCAGTACACTCTCACAGCTACCTTCACTAACAGATATAAACCCTGGAGTATTTACTGTGATTTGAGACTTTTTGTGTTTCCTGTTTTGTTTTTTTTTTTTGTTGTTGTTTTTTTGCTTTCACTTCTGTTGCACAGCACAATTTGACTTTAAACACCATAAAACTGTCAAGGTATCAGAACACCAGGTGCTTACTGTTTGACAGCTGCAAAGTCACAAATGGCTCTTCACCACTGATGCAGTGCCAGTTCTACTTTGGTGCTTTTGAGAACCAGCATAAGCTTTGACAGGTTTGATGCAAATGTTGCATGGCATTACATAAAAGTTGTAGGCTGAAAAAAAAAAAAAGACCCATCTGTGAATCACCTAACTTTCTTGCAGTAGTGCCTTTTGTAGCCACTTACTATGGATCCAAACTTGGGGCTAGCTTTTAGGACCCAGTAGTGCTGTCTAACTCAAAGGCATGGAGCTAGTTGTAGACTAGGCACTGCTTTGGTGGAAATAAAGCATATTAGCCAAAGCTTTTTTTTTTTTTTTTTGGTTCTGGTGCTGACTTGATTGCAACCCACATCTTTGTGGCCTCAGTCTTTAGTTTCAGGAAAAAAAAAAGACCTAGCTCTTCAGGTTCTTACAAAAAGTGCTATCATAAATTGCACTGTTTAGTAGCTATGCTGTGTAGCATGTGTCGCTATCAGACGCCAGAGTGGCTGATTGTTGGTTTTTTTTTTTTGTTTTTTTTGTTTTGTTTTTCAAAGAGCACACTAGACTGTTCAATAGGAAACCACATTTGTTTTTTGTATACACGCATACTGTATGTGGTTTGCTTGTACATGTGTATATATATTTTGATTTCTGGAGGGTTAGGGTCGTCGGTGTGTGTGCGTTTTCTCAGGTTTCTGGCCTCGATTGAGGCTCAATGCTACCTACCTCTGTCCATCAGGCCTGGAAAACCTTAACTACTGTACCTTTCCTTACAGAAACTAGTTTGATTTGATTTACAGCTGTCCACCCAACAGTGCAGTATCTGCCTTCTTTCATGTCACGTAATAAGCTGATTGCTTGTGTTTGCTTTTTAATTCCATGTACAGTTTAATCAAGAGTATATTATTTTGGGTGAAATTAAGTACACAAATGTTCATATAATCGGTTGGTGTTTTGCTTGTAGCTCACTTTTGATGGAAATTACTGTAAGCAGATGTTACCTGGTTCAGTTGCCTTTTTTGGGAGACATTCTTGTTTTGGGTCTTAAAAACATGAAATTTGCTCTTAATTTTATCTGGATAGAAATTTTTAGTCTCAAGGTGAAATATTTAATTTCTCTTATGGTGCAAAGTTTTATATATATAATTTTTTTTTTTTAAATTCCCCCCCTTACATGTTTATTTTCACTTGAGTCCTCAACATCTTTGTAAAACACTTCTATGCATTTATGAATTGGCAGTGCAGCTTTTATGTTTTATTTCCATCACAGAATGTATTCTTAATCACAGAACGAACTGAATGTCTTCAGGTTCTTAATTTTTCCTGAGTATGTAGTTGCTCCACTTGAGGGTCACAGCACACTCATGTAGTTTATAGCATCCTGATACAAGACCTGTAATCGCAATACCACAGCTGACTCTACATTAAACTGCATCCTAAATAAGATTTTTTTTATTTTTTTTTTTTTTTTTTGTTCTTTTTGCTTACAAATTTAGAACCAAATATTTTTGAAGGCTGGCTCTCAATCTAATTCCAAGCTAGCACTTTAAAAATCTGTAGCATGTCAGCAAATGTTTGGCTCTGCAGGTGTGTGTGTGTGTGTGTGTGTGTGTGTGTGTGTGTGTGTGTGCGCAATATTATTGGGCTGCAGAACTGAAGAGAACACTAAAATTTGCACTGCTAACATTTTCTAGGTTTTAAGAAATTGGGCTTTAGCTTGATGCAAAGTAAATGTTGAAACTTTCTTTTGTAAGTGCAACACTGAGATTTTCTATCCTGTATATCTGTGACAGTGCATTTCTTTAGAGAACTGTATGTGGTGTGTAAATGGTGGATTTCTGTGTGTACCACGTTAAAGATTTGTCAGTATACTTTGCTCTGATTCATGTAAAGGCTACACTTTAATTTCTTGTGTGGGGATTTCATGAAATAAAGGTTGTTTTTAAAAGCAGATTTTCTTGTGATCTTTATGTATTTATACAGCTGTGTGGTTACTTTTGTGCGTATTACAACTGCTGAATGAATCGAACATTGTCCCAGTTACCAGACTTAAAATGTTCTTCAGCATCATCACAAGTCCGGTTACAGTTAAGTCTTCATACTTTACAATCATACTGCAAACAAGATTTTATGTTAGTCTAGATATAGTATGCATTGCAATCAACATTTGAGACTGAACCACAGAATTTGGATAGTACGGCCAGAATATGACAAACTTGAAACTATGGATCCATCATGCTCGTTGTGTTGGGGTTTCTCGGTCCACTTTGGGCCCTTAGTATCAGCTAAACCTCACTTAGACACCAGTCTTATCAGAGTGTTATTGCTGACAATCTTTAAGTCTTTATGGCCACATTTTAACCATTTTCTGATGTGTACATTTAATTTGAGCTTTGTGACAGAAACTTCGATGAAACTGGTTTCTTGAATGTGAAAATGAGGTAGCTGTACTCGAATAGCCTCCAGATCTGTCCAACAGAGCGCCTTTGGAATGTGGTGGAACGGGAGATTAACATCATACATGTGCAGCCGACAGATCTGCAGCAACTGTGCGCTGCTGTCATGTCAGTATGGACCAAAATCTCTCAAGGAACGTTTCCAGCACAGTGTTGAAGGTACACCACAAGAAATTAAAGCTCAGGTGTGTTTATTTAAAAAAAAAAAAAAAAAAAAGTGTAACCCAGTACTAGCAAGGTATGTGTCAGAGCCAGCATGTGTGAATCCTTTTGATAACCTGCACACTTTGGCCCACCCCTGATGATAATAACTGATCAGCTCATTCTCCAGTATCTAACAGTTTCACTTCTGAATTTTCAAGCAGGGCTGTATCCAAAGATGTACTGAAAATATATTTTTAGTGGCCTTTACCCTCATTTCGAAATGCTTTATTTTGTAAACGTCGTGCATTTCTCTTTTTTTCAGTCTTTTATTTTGTCTTATCTGTGCAATGATACTTCAATTCCCATGTGTTAGCAATAATAAAATTAAAAAAACAAAACATAGCCTTCACATTTTAGCACACAAAAATTAACAAGTAGTCATTTAGGAAACCAGAACCCTGCAATCCTGGTATTTAGTGGTTTCTGACTATAAGGGCACACATCAGGATTCTTTTCTCTTTTTCTTGTGGTTGAATTCGCCAAAGAAAGACTGAATCGTCCAATCATCCACCTGCAGGAGGATGCTGGTCTGTGAAGGTATTGGAGGAGGAGGAGGAGGAGTACGGACGTCACGTTGTCCACGCTCGCTGCCCGTCGTCGCAACGCGGAAGCGACGAACGAGGAAAGGGCGAATCCACGTCACTGAGGTGTCATATTGGCGTCAGTGCAACACAAGGTGCTACCTATCCCAGATCTTTTCATTCATGTAGGTTATAATAACTCGTATGACCACAAAGCGAAGGTATATCCGTCTGTTTGTGCGCCGGAGGGGGGCCTCGGTGGAGACTCCGGGATTCCTCTGAAGGTAAAATACGCACATTTGTGTGTTTGTCCGCTACCTGCTAGCCAGCCTGACCGGAACCACCGGACGGAGCCTGCCGCTGTATTTCCTCCGGACACCGCTGACCATTGCGGAGTAGAGAAAGCGATTCCCACTGCTTTACCGATTCAGCGTCGTGGTGGCGATTAGCACTTCAGTGTCCCGGTCTCGGTTAGCTAGTCGGGATTTAAGGCTTCACAAGGCTTCAGAGCGTTGTTGACGTTTTCGGTTTGACAGTTGTCGGCGCCCCGCTGAGGACCTGCTGGCTTCACTCATTTACATCCACAATTCTTATCTTAATGCAAATAATTTACAATCAGAAGCAGCTGCAGGCTGATTCACGGGCACATTAATAAATGAGCAGGGTGCTCTGAGCAGTTGTGAGAAGTGCAGGTTAAACTGTAACTACAGACGCTGAGGCCCATTCATTGTTGTGATTTTGAGCCCATCATCATCATCATCATCAGCAGATCTAAGAAGCATGTAATTCAGCAGAAGCTTAAAGGACCACAGCATTCATTGCTGGAGCTCATGAAAGCAGTTGTGAAATGCCTCCTGTGGCCTCAGGGTTATCTAACATCGCTGCTTCACCTTAATAGAAGCCTTATTATTGTGCG